GAAAGATATCTGAAACAATGATCCAACAGGACACAGATTGTCTAGTGTTCCACTGTTTTTCTCCCAACTCATCTCTGATTCTTCTATTTTCATCATTCAAAAGAATGAAGCATGTAACCACCACCAATTTATAGATTTCTATATACCATGAGTATTCTATACATACTCATAGCAACACAGCAACTTAGCTGGTACCAATTCATATTTCATGACACACAGTTTAGTCCTTTCACTTGTAATTAAGCTGACAGTTTCACTTTCTTGTGTGTATTCAGCAATTCTTGATATTGTAAGCCACCTGGAATCACCTGTGGGTAGGTTGGGTGGCCATATAAATGTCTTTAATAAATAATTTCTGTTTCTTTCATTTCCTTTGTTAATGTATATTCTTTACCATTTCCTCAATTTACATTCCAAGTCACAATCTGCAGATGTCAATTATTTTTTTCCAAATATGCACGTGGTGATTAACCTTCTATGTGTCCATCATGGTCAGTTTTGGCTTTCATATAAAGTTTTTAGTCTCCCATAATAGAGTAAAATGAGGTTGCCAGCACTTTTTGCATTTGGCCACATGTAGCATTTCCCGCTAGTGAAATGAAGGTACCACACTGTTTTGGCATATTTGGAGCAGTGATGCTACAAGCCCAACCAATTTCCAATTTTATTTCAAGAATGGCCATGCTATTTTTGCAAGGAAGAATATCTAATCTATCTTTCAAGGAGAGGCTACTAGAAAGGCAACAGGTTGATATCTTCATCTGATCACCTAACAGATATATGCAGCATGTGAATGTACTCTTACTTAGCATGGTTTGAAGCAAAATGTCTTAAAAACTATGCCTTATAGTACTTTCTGTATTTAAACTTCTGTATTGAAATGGAAGAACGAAGAATCTAGAGAGGGTCTGGGTTAATTTCTTTCACAATAACAATCTCTAGCAAAGGTTCTTCTGGGAAATGTAGTATGTTCTGCTGTGCATTTTTTTTCTTGAGAACCAATATGCTCTAAGCCACAATTTACTGTTGAAACTGAAGCACACTAGCTCTTTTTAATGGTAACTTTTAAATATTTTAGAACTATCCTTAAGAATGTCTTCTTTTTTCCCCCAGGATGCGGAAAATCAGTTTCAGCCCCTGCTCCAAACACAGTCTCTTCACCAAACCATACTTTAGTTACTGCTCCATTCAGAATCTTTACTCATTTATTTTCATCATTAAATATAACATTCAAATCCTGCTTTTTGTAGGAATATCAGCTAACAATGCTGGAGGTTTTTGCTTAAGCTACATAAATGAACAAATGTGATTTGCATTTTTTCAGTTTATGTTGATCAGATTCAGAACATAGTTATGCTTCAGTTTTTGCATGTCTTTGAATTTTGGGAGTCTTAGGTTCAAGAAAACTATAGCATTCTGTGAATACAGATTCTTTTTTGCATATGAAAATATGTATATTTGAATACAAGGTCTATTTTAGGATAAAATGCAAGTGTTGGGGAGAAAAAATACAGTTCTGGTATCATTGTTTGTTTTAAAAATATTGATGCAGAAATAGATGGAATAAATTCACATCAAAATGTCTCAGATTTAAAGTTCTCCCAATGAATAGGATATATTTGGCAAAGTTATATAAATTTCTTCTAGTCTGATCACATTAATAATCTAACTGACTGCATATATCACAAGTTAAAATAAACGTCAACTTTTTAAAACAAAAATGCCTTTATGCTATTTTTTTCCCATTAGAAATAGATAAATGAATATTTGTTGTTTTTCCTTTCCCCACCAATCTCTAGAATTTCTAACAGATTTGATGGAAACTGAAATTACGTACAATTGCTTTTCAAAAACTGTGTTGAGAAAAATGTTTGGTTCTGGAAGACTGGCAACTAAAATTATAAGAGTTGTTAAATCTGTGCTGATAATCCTTTTTAAAAACTATTATTTTACAGGCATTTACAGAGAAGAAGGAAAATGCATTCTCAAGCCTTCATCCAATGTTTACTTCTGTAAGGAAACTGATCATGCAATGGTGATTTTGGAAAATATGGACACGGATTTAGATCACAGGAAGCTCTCTCCACCTGTATTAATAGCTAGTACCTTTGTGGACACATTCAGTGAAGCCATATCAGAGGGATCTTTCTGCTCCAAAGAACTTTCTGTGATATTTTACTCTCTACTGCCATCAAACAGCCTTTCAAAGATTTGCTTTGCTGGACCAGTTCCTTGGTCATTAAGACTCTACTTTAATGGTGGTCATGGCATTGCCAGAGTACTTTTAGCTATCTCCTATGATGAACCAAGAAGCTTTCATGTTTTTGTGAAAGAGAACACTATCCAACCTGTCTTGTTTTTTCCCAGCCTTTTTTGGGAAAATGCCACAACAGGAACTAATTACTTCAATTTCCAGGAGAATCTTCTGTATGTTGCTGTTCACTGGGATGAACCTATAGAAATACATACACACAATGCTCTTCATATTGCTTTCACCATATTAAAGGATATTAGAGAGAAAGCTCATGCAGTGCTTATTCAGCAATTGGCAGGTTTTTTACAAATTGGGCAGGATGAAATTAGAGCAGTCTCCAGTACTTCAGGAAATGAAGACACATTAAGGATTATTGCAGACAACAGTATGAAGAAGAAATATCAGTGTCCTCCAGAGAGGTCATGCATATTCACTCATCATAGCACCAGCCGACAGGGGAATTTGCATCCATCCCATGGCTTGAGAGTGCTGATACTTGAAATCAGTGATCCGTTACACATTTTAAAATATAAACTTGCTTCCTTGTATTCAAGTGTCAGATTAAACAGTTTGGCCAGTACGCTAATTGATGCCCAACAAACTGGGACACTTCAGCATATTCTCAGATTGCCAGTTGATTCTCTGGTGGTGATGGTTTCCTCAGCTTCAGTTCCAACAACAGAAAATTCTAGGTAAGTAATTGTTAAATACTGATATTTTTAATATGTCAAAACTAATATTAAAAACAAGCGGAGGATTGTTGTCCTTTCTTAGATGAAGGACCACTGAACAAAATAGGGGATTATTTCTCAGTTACCATCCACAATAAACCCTCAAATAGCTTCAGAAGGGAATTCATTTGTGAATGTAAGAATATATAAGACATTTTACATTATGTCCTTATATTACAAAATTTGTTAGTTTGGGTTTGTTGTCTTTGGTTATATATTCATTTTAAGATTCCATATTGTTCCCCTCCCCCAGAACCTAGAAAGAATGTGGAGTTATTTCTGAATAGTTTCCTGTATTGTTCCTCACTTATAGACAGAAGCTTGCCAATTATTTGCATAAGTATAGATATACTCTGGAAATCACTAGGGAGGAGTTGTGTTAATCCTCTTTCTCCCTACCAAACTCTCCATTCTTTCCTTCCTCTTTACCCTTTGGAATGGAACCCCTTCCTCTTGGGAATCCAGATTACATTCAACCGCATCTACTTTCACTTCAAATTAGCAGCTGACATAATGGAATAATATTACAAAGTACCATATTACCCCAAATAGTGAATGAAAAAGGACAGTAAATTTTAATAAAAGCAGATTAAAACAAAATCAAAAGTAAATGTAAAGACTTTTTATTGGCTACTCAGGCATAGTTCTGTTAGAATGGAGTAGGGGGTTCAATAGATATTACTAAAAAGGCCCTTTCCAAGTTGTTTCTCACCTGTTTTATTTCTAATCTGTTTTATTTCATTCATCTCAGGTTAGTTATCTATCTATCTATCTATCTATCTATCTATCTATCTATCTATCTATAGGTTGATATCTTCATCTGATCACCTAACAGATATATGCAGCATGTGAATGTACTCTTACTTAGCATGGTTTGAAGCAAAATGTCTTAAAAACTATGCCTTATAGTACTTTCTGTATTTAAACTTCTGTATTGAAATAAGGAAGAACGAAGAATCTAGAGAGGGTCTGGGTTAATTTCTTTCACAATAACAATCTCTAGCAAAGGTTCTTCTGGGAAATGTAGTATGTTCTGCTGTGCATTTTTTTTCTTGAGAACCAATATGCTCTAAGCCACAATTTACTGTTGAAACTGAAGCACACTAGCTCTTTTTAATGGTAACTTTTAAATATTTTAGAACTATCCTTAAGAATGTCTTTTTTTTCCCCCAGGATGCGGAAAATCAGTTTCAGCCCCTGCTCCAAACACAGTCTCTTCACCAAACCATACTTTAGTTACTGCTCCATTCAGAATCTTTACTCATTTATTTTCATCATTAAATATAACATTCAAATCCTGCTTTTTGTAGGAATATCAGCTAACAATGCTGGAGGTTTTTGCTTAAGCTACATAAATGAACAAATGTGATTTGCATTTTTTCAGTTTATGTTGATCAGATTCAGAACATAGTTATGCTTCAGTTTTTGCATGTCTTTGAATTTTGGGAGTCTTAGGTTCAAGAAAACTATAGCATTCTGTGAATACAGATTCTTTTTTGCATATGAAAATATGTATATTTGAATACAAGGTCTATTTTAGGATAAAATGCAAGTGTTGGGGAGAAAAAATACAGTTCTGGTATCATTGTTTGTTTTAAAAATATTGATGCAGAAATAGATGGAATAAATTCACATCAAAATGTCTCAGATTTAAAGTTCTCCCAATGAATAGGATATATTTGGCAAAGTTATATAAATTTCTTCTAGTCTGATCACATTAATAATCTAACTGACTGCATATATCACAAGTTAAAATAAACGTCAACTTTTTAAAACAAAAATGCCTTTATGCTATTTTTTTCCCATTAGAAATAGATAAATGAATATTTGTTGTTTTTCCTTTCCCCACCAATCTCTAGAATTTCTAACAGATTTGATGGAAACTGAAATTACGTACAATTGCTTTTCAAAAACTGTGTTGAGAAAAATGTTTGGTTCTGGAAGACTGGCAACTAAAATTATAAGAGTTGTTAAATCTGTGCTGATAATCCTTTTTAAAAACTATTATTTTACAGGCATTTACAGAGAAGAAGGAAAATGCATTCTCAAGCCTTCATCCAATGTTTACTTCTGTAAGGAAACTGATCATGCAATGGTGATTTTGGAAAATATGGACACGGATTTAGATCACAGGAAGCTCTCTCCACCTGTATTAATAGCTAGTACCTTTGTGGACACATTCAGTGAAGCCATATCAGAGGGATCTTTCTGCTCCAAAGAACTTTCTGTGATATTTTACTCTCTACTGCCATCAAACAGCCTTTCAAAGATTTGCTTTGCTGGACCAGTTCCTTGGTCATTAAGACTCTACTTTAATGGTGGTCATGGCATTGCCAGAGTACTTTTAGCTATCTCCTATGATGAACCAAGAAGCTTTCATGTTTTTGTGAAAGAGAACACTATCCAACCTGTCTTGTTTTTTCCCAGCCTTTTTTGGGAAAATGCCACAACAGGAACTAATTACTTCAATTTCCAGGAGAATCTTCTGTATGTTGCTGTTCACTGGGATGAACCTATAGAAATACATACACACAATGCTCTTCATATTGCTTTCACCATATTAAAGGATATTAGAGAGAAAGCTCATGCAGTGCTTATTCAGCAATTGGCAGGTTTTTTACAAATTGGGCAGGATGAAATTAGAGCAGTCTCCAGTACTTCAGGAAATGAAGACACATTAAGGATTATTGCAGACAACAGTATGAAGAAGAAATATCAGTGTCCTCCAGAGAGGTCATGCATATTCACTCATCATAGCACCAGCCGACAGGGGAATTTGCATCCATCCCATGGCTTGAGAGTGCTGATACTTGAAATCAGTGATCCGTTACACATTTTAAAATATAAACTTGCTTCCTTGTATTCAAGTGTCAGATTAAACAGTTTGGCCAGTACGCTAATTGATGCCCAACAAACTGGGACACTTCAGCATATTCTCAGATTGCCAGTTGATTCTCTGGTGGTGATGGTTTCCTCAGCTTCAGTTCCAACAACAGAAAATTCTAGGTAAGTAATTGTTAAATACTGATATTTTTAATATGTCAAAACTAATATTAAAAACAAGCGGAGGATTGTTGTCCTTTCTTAGATGAAGGACCACTGAACAAAATAGGGGATTATTTCTCAGTTACCATCCACAATAAACCCTCAAATAGCTTCAGAAGGGAATTCATTTGTGAATGTAAGAATATATAAGACATTTTACATTATGTCCTTATATTACAAAATTTGTTAGTTTGGGTTTGTTGTCTTTGGTTATATATTCATTTTAAGATTCCATATTGTTCCCCTCCCCCAGAACCTAGAAAGAATGTGGAGTTATTTCTGAATAGTTTCCTGTATTGTTCCTCACTTATAGACAGAAGCTTGCCAATTATTTGCATAAGTATAGATATACTCTGGAAATCACTAGGGAGGAGTTGTGTTAATCCTCTTTCTCCCTACCAAACTCTCCATTCTTTCCTTCCTCTTTACCCTTTGGAATGGAACCCCTTCCTCTTGGGAATCCAGATTACATTCAACCGCATCTACTTTCACTTCAAATTAGCAGCTGACATAATGGAATAATATTACAAAGTACCATATTACCCCAAATAGTGAATGAAAAAGGACAGTAAATTTTAATAAAAGCAGATTAAAACAAAATCAAAAGTAAATGTAAAGACTTTTTATTGGCTACTCAGGCATAGTTCTGTTAGAATGGAGTAGGGGGTTCAATAGATATTACTAAAAAGGCCCTTTCAAGTTTTTCTGTTTTCACCTGTTTTATTTCTAATCTGTTTTATTTCATTCATCTCAGGTTAGTTATCTATCTATCTATCTATCTATCTATCTATCTATCTATCTATCTATCTATCTATCTATCTATCTTTATCTATCTATATCCCACCTTTATTATTTTACATTTTTAAATTCATTTTATTTTTCATTCAATCTATTCCTTGCCCACCTTTTTGTAGTAGGCTGGATAGGATTTTATTAAGATAATATAGCTAGGAAGCATTATATTGGTCACTCACTTAATTATCCATTCTATAGAAGTTCCCTACACGGATTCAGTAACACATTCAGACCTATGTGGTCAACCATTATTGTTGTCAACTGTGCACTAATGATACTACTAAAGACAGGTCCTGGGACAAAGTTTTTAACACAGTAGTATGATGAAGTACAAAACAGCAATCTGCCCATTCTGATATTTGCTCAGTATTTCACACTTCAGCAATAGGTACAGTAGGTTAAAGGTTCTTCACTGTGGAGATTGCTGTCTAGCATCATAAACATCATTTCAGAGCAATCTTAATTATGACAAAAGAGTTAAGACAAAACACCCCTTTATGCAATAATACATTTCTTAATAAAAGAGAACTAGTTCAAAAGGAAGAAAATAATGTACATTATAACAATGGCAACCATGATGGATTTCAACTGAGAAATGGTTGCAGCTTGTTGCATTCTTTGCCTCAGAGTCTTGAGCAAAAGTAGTTCTCTTAAAAGTCCCACAAATATCACCCTTAAAATGGCTGGAGCAATTAACTGCATAGCTGGGTACGTTATAGACAAACTCTGCTTAATCTTATTTGAACTGAATTAGGAATCACTGGATTATTTTTATGCGGTACCTGATGCTCCTTTATTTACAATGCTTTTAATCTATTCAATTAAAATACTTTTCTGGTTGGATTACAGAATGGCTAAAACATTAAATGTTAATGTAAGAGAGTCATATTGTGGGATAATAAAATACAATTAATAAATAGTAGAAGAGGATCAGTTTGATGTAATGCTGAAAGGCACTGGAATAGAAGTTGGGAAACCATGATTTCTAGTCCTGCTTTAGTCATAAAAGTTACTTTGGGCCAGTCACTTTCACTCATTCTTAGGAAAAATATCATTTCTTCCGTCACAAAATTGTGTGATGCTGTTCCTACAGTTACCAGGTATCAGGGCTGACTCCATGGACCATATCAAAATACTAGAAAATCAGTTTGATCTAGTGGTAGATGAAAGCCAGCTAGGTAACCTTGAGTGAATCACTTCCTCTTACCCCAAGGAAGAGGCAATGACAACCATTTCTGAAAATGCTGCCCCTGACCTTACACAACATTGGAATTTGAAAGGATTTAAAATCAAGCTGATTTGAAAACTATAGCAATGCATGTGAGAACATCAATGTTTTCTTTTGTTACTGACACAATTGTGTGCATGCTTCCCTGGTAATGGCACAGCCAAGAAAACTCTATTCCTTGTAGCTTTTTGTCCAACTTCACTTAGTTGAGAGATCCAAAGAAAGACCTCCAAAGATGTCCATAGACTTGGGCAGATGCAGCACTTTTCTTTGCAGTATTATTCCTTGATAAGAATCTGATTTAGATATATTTGGCAACAGCAATATTGTTAATTTAAAAGGCCTTCTTTCTGGATTCAGTATTACTCAACATATTCTGAGCCACAGGTGTTTTTTATTTGGACCAGTTAACTGTGAACTCTCTTTAATTCCCTTGGGCCAAACATTCTTTCCCTAAATGGTGCCAGATCTTATGGAGAAGAGTTTGTTAATGCAAATTAATTCTTCTTTAAAATTCATGTATTTGTTTTTATACAATTTTACTGGATTTCTTTATGCTTTATTCATTTAAAAATTGCCATGTTAATTTGTGGTTTATATCTCTTCTAAATTTTGGAATCAGAAGTGTTGATATATATATTTATCCGTAACAAAGCCATATCAGCCTAATCTGCTTATTAATAGATATTTCCCCATTTCATAGCTATAAAATTATCAGTGTCAGCTATTAATCTATTAATTAACTAAGTCCTACTGGAATCTTCTTGTGACCTGCTTATATTACGAATTAAGTTCTAAGTTAAGGGGAAACCCAAACTGCTACATTCAAAATCCTATCCTTGTGTTGTTATCATTACTATTGTATTTATGGAATATGGGCATAGTTCTAAATCTTGTGGAAGATTTCTTTTAAATGCATCGAGGCAGTTGAGATAATAAATTCATTTAACAATTTTTGCATACCTATTTTGTCATTGAAATTCCATGTACCAAACTAATTTTACAATGGTCCAGAACAGTGGTGGGATTCAAAATTTTTTACTACTGGTTCTGTGGGCATGGCATGGCTTGGTGGGTGTGGCTTGGTGGACGTGACAGGGGAAAGATACTATAAAATTTCCATTCCCTCCCCACTCCAGGGGAAGGTAACTGCAAAATCCCCATTTCCTCTCGATCAGCTGGGACTCGAGAGGCAGAAAATAGATGGGGGTGGGGCCAGTCAGAGGTGGTATTTACCAGTTCTCCAAACTACTCAAAATTTCCACTACTAGAACTGGTCAGAACCTGCTGAATACCACCTCTAGTCCAGAGTGGGTGCAAACTATCAGAAAGTGCACCTTGGGTAAAAAATAAAATAAAATTACTGTGGGAACAGGAATATATTCTGACATGAGAACTTTTCAATCATCTTTGATTCAGTAGACTAAAAATCTATATCAGAAGTCAACATGTGTTAACAGCAACATACATTAGACCTATGAGAAGAGGAACTTGCAATGTATTAAGTCTGCTGAAGTAGGAAGTAACATTCTGTTCGTTGATTGGTTAAAGTAACGTTCTGTTTGTTGATTGGTTAAGCCACCTGACAGCTGGCAATATAAGAACTGTCAGGCAGAGTTCCAAGCAGTTTCAGTTATAGCTGTGGCAGTTAGCCCAGCTGTTGTTAATAAACGGTTAATTACATGATCTTTGCATTGTCCATCGTCCTTGATCCAGCCAATACATTTCAGAACTGTATCTCTATGTGCTAATTTAGAGAAATTAGTGAAGCAACTTGAAATTAAGTCACAGTGGAGGGCGTCAGGGCCCACACGACATTTGCCACGGCCTGCTGCCTAGCACAGCTCTTTAAAGAAAGCAATAGCTAATTGGCCGAAAACACAGCAGGTGAAGGGTTAAATACTTTAGCTGTTGGGCAGTTGGAATTTTTTATATCTTTGCTGGAGGACCTTGTGTCTGCAGGCCATAGTCACATTATCAGCTGGAAATTGGATAAGGACAGCACAATGACAAATCCAGGTTGCTTGCAATAAGGTGCTAATCCCTTTGCTTTAATATCGAAGCAGCATGTAATGATGTTTGGACATCACTCCAGTTTACTGACGACCCCACTGGGGCTTGCAATAGAAGCGTACAACCACCTAACAAGGCGTCAGCTGACTGCCGTCGTCAAAGCAACGGACATTGCAATCTAATCTTCCTTCCATCCCTTCCAGCTCCCAATAAGGCCCAGGTTATATAAGTGGCCCATCGATGCTTGGTAACTGGAATCAATTAACGTTAATTCGCACAATGCTATGATGTATTGTGATCACTTTCATTTCAGGGAAGGGGGAAAGAAATGGCTATAATTCACCTAAAATGAGGTTGTCTATGGTACTGAGGTATTAATTGGGTGTCCATATTAAATGGGAAAGGAGCAGAGCAGTGAAGGAAAAGTGGAAGGATGAGTGACTCTCTTGGCTGCTATTGACCTATCAGAAGAAGACAGTGCCCTTTTCCTTTGCTTTTATCTATTACAGTTTTCCCTATTGCGTGTCAAGTTGATGTATTATAAAAAATTCATTTGGTGACCTTTCACCCTCTTTGCAGATTAAACAATTTCACCAAGATGGCATCATTAAGAGGGCCTTGCATTTAATGATGATTTCTCTAAAAGGCCACGGAGATTCGATTTTAAGCTAACAGATTTATTGCACTATTATAACATATCGTAAAAAATTCTACCACCTACGGTCTAGTTTTAGGTTAGGAAACTGTTAGGAGTTTATGCGGAGTTTAAAAGCGGTATTACCTTGGGATATGCTGCTGCACCAATTGGCACATTCTCTCCCATGGCACAATCCTGTTTATGTTTAATAAGTTATTGTTCCTCAGGTGCTAAATTTAAGGGGCAAAGTAGAGGCCTGCCTGGATCCACTTTTTAAGAGTCCAAATTAGATATTTAGGCCTGTAAAACTGTCAGAGTAAACCACAGTTTTGTTAATCTGTACAACATACAATTTGAGTTAAACTTAATGCTTTGAGGGAGCAAAAGAGGGCCATCTGGTTACCATTAGCAACCACAGAATGGCTGGAAGGGACAGACCACTCTGGGGTGAGAGACAGAGGGAGGTGGAATTCTACCATGGGAACAGACTCATTTGTTCTGAAGCTCATTTGTAAACACAAGTATTGTTCTTTTCACTATCACCCAAACCTTAGTGCTTCAGAATGAGAAGATATGTCTAGTACCAAGAAGAAGATGAAGGGGAAAAAACCCAGCAAAAATGGTTTTAGCCAATACAAGATAGACAGGCTGGCACTGTTGCCTACTAAGAAAGACTCTACTAATAGAATAAAAGAAAGGAGCCTAACCAACAACTGGACAAAATGACCAGGAATATAGAACATCCTGTAGGAATTTTCATGCTCAGTTTATTTAATAACCTATTTTGTTAACATTGGTTTCTTGGCTTTTTAAAACTGAGCCTTCAAATGTGATCTGAATCAGTTACTAGAATCCAAAAAAAGATCTGCCTCAAATAAGTCTACCCATATCATTTATCTCTGCTCAGAGATATCCATACTTAATATGGATTGTAATTTAATATGAATGGATATGTACAAAGCAGTGGTGGAATTCAATTTTTTTTACTGTGGGCATGGCTTGGTGGGCACGGTGTGGCTTGGTGGGCATGGCAGGGGAAGTATACTGCAAAATCTCCATTCCCACCCCACTCCAGGGGAAGCATACTGCAAAATCCCCATTCCATCCCCACTGGGCCAGCCAGAGGTAGTATTTCCCAGTTCTCCGAACTACTCAAAATTTCCGTTTCCGGTTGTCCAGAGCCTGTCAGAATCTGCAAAATTTTTAGGCCTTTACAAATAGGGAAGAGATTGCCTTCCAGTCTATTACTACTGAATCTGGTCCTTGATCTCATTTGCCTAATCTCAAAAAAGAATGTATTGGAAACCTAAAGCAATTGGCTTGAGAAAGATGGCAAATCCAGTTTCCAGAATTCCATCTCTTTCCATTCAGATTCCATCATACTGATTCAAGTGTGAATTCCCAATACACATAAAAGGATTAAATCTTAATATGGGATTAAAACCGTTTTTAAAGAGAAACAGGAGAACAAGTTTTTAAAGAGATGGAAAAACGAAAGAAACAAGAAAGTCATTGTAATATATTGAAGTTAAAGCAAATTTGCAAGTGCAAGATGCATTCTGCCACCAGGGGGCACTATCTTTTTCACAAGAGATGGAAGAAAAATTGGTACTTTCTGTTTAATTTATAAAGATTGGTAGATATAGCAAAAAGGGCATTAATACATGGAAGGGTTAGATTGGATGCAAGGAACTGATTCTGTTTGCTTAGGCTAGAGGAAGTCTAAAGGGTTTAGAATTGGAAGGAATGTCTCATTCTTGCCCCCTAAATTTGTCCTTGAAATCCTTATAGAAAATTATCCATCTATAATGCATTTTAAAATTTATCATTCAAACATATGTTTTTAAGTTTAATATACCACATTTATTTTTCATCTATCATCTCTCTCTCTGCAATAGTGGTGAATCAATCTCCCTCCCTCTCCCTCCCTCCCCCCCCTCTCTCTTTCTCCATCTCTGTATCTTCTTTCTGTTTTCAGAAACACAATTCATAATAGTAGAAATTATGTTTCGATAGATAAAGCCATTTGGTTTTAAAATCTGTAATACTATTTTTCTGTCTTTGCAAAGGCAATGGGATTTCCAAGTTCCTTCCTTCAGATAGCAGCTTCAGGTTCTGAATGCCTACACTCAAATAACATGGATAATAACTACCCTGTGTATTCCCTAATGATTTATAGTGAGTTACTCATAGTCCTTGGCTTTCAAATGCTTTTTTTAGGTGGAGATAGGAGAAATAAAATGATGTATTGACATTCTTATTGAGGGTTGATAGAACTGATTTATATTGAAACTATTTTCTTGAACAGAAAATTCTTTTTTAATATGACCACTCCAACTGGGGAGAAAAAATCTGTTAAATTACATGACTCACTAAAATAGTTTTTCTGTTTATGCATGATAAATTTCAACAGTAGTTCTAAGAAGTCATATATATAATTCTCTCCTGATATTCTGCAACCCACTTTTCTATTCTGCTATATTATTCCTAAATAGTTATATCAGAAAGAAATAGGTGTTTAAACTAGCCATTTAAAAATGAGTTCAGTTTTATTTTGCCTCCTACTGTAATTTGCAAGGGCAAAATCCTTGCAAAGAATATGGTAAAAGCTTCAGAATGCAAAGGAATTCTGTTAAAGAAATCGAGTTAAACTAAAGTGAATTGGCTCTCAATAAATCCATTGTTTGTAGACATTTTAAAGCAAACACTAGGAGAATTGAATAAATAGCTTTTATACTTTTCACTTTCATTTTGAGGCAATATCAAACCCCAAGTTACCACTCTGTAGCAGTGGATTAGAAGCATATATAAAAAGGATAATGACAAAAAAAAAATTGGAAAGGCTGTGAGGCCATGTGGGCCCTAAATGAAGCATATTTTTTATTCAAATGCAAAAGATATCCCCAAGGTGCTTCAGATTTACTCTTGGAATATAAACTTAGTGGGATGGGTGCCTATATACATGCTACAGCTAAAAAAATAAAAATCACAGTGTTGTTAAATAAATATAGTTAACCCAACTAGTGCATGTAAGGCACATTATGAGAAGAATATTTTAGAAGTATACCCTGAGCTGTATAATGGAAAAGTAAAAGTTTCTTCAGAGTTCTATGCGATTTCTATGCAAATTAATTGCATTTGGTATTTGGCATTCTTTTAGTTCTGAGGCATGCTAACTAGATATATACTGTTCACACATTCTTTCTCCATTTGGTGACAATTGTTTGGTGACAATTTCAATTTTTCAATTCAAATAATTTTTAATTATTTGTAAGATTTATTGGCCGTCAATCTTACCATGTAATTATTTCTGAAATAATCAGCATTAATCATGATTTTCTTTTCTTTTTAATATATTTTTCCTTGATGAAGAAATGGAAGTAGCCCAACTTCATGGAGTTGCCTCTATGTCCGTCCTTACAGCATCTCTGTCTGGATTCAACCCTCCAATGGAGTGGTGGAAAGGCCACTGCTGAGGCAACCACAAATATTTTTTCTGGACAAACAGGTATGAAATTCTAAGACATACACTTCATACTTTAGGTTAGAAACTGATGTAGGATCTAGGGCTCCTAGATTTATTTTTTTTAAAAAAATCTTGACCTTCTTGAATATTGTTATAAGTAGGTTAAATTGGAATATGTTGTAATCAGAGGGAAATAAAGGAAATTTGTCAACAGGCTCCACACAATCTCTTCATTTTTATCCTTTCACAAGTAATATTAATTGTAGCTCAGGAATCTTGCATTCTACTACTAGCTGCCAAAATTTGTTGTAGGTTCCCATTAATGTTATCTACCATTCCCATTGTTTCCACAACTCCATCTTTATTAAGGATTGCCAGTGTTTTATTCATGACACCACACACACACACACACACACACAAACAACAACAAACAAACATGGACAGAGAGAGAGAAGGAGAGGAAAAAGGAGAGAGGGAGAGGGAGAGGGAGAGAGAAACAGAGGAACTACAAATTTCAATATAATTTCCTTTTATCCTCTTTGCAACTGATAACAAATTTTCTGCAAGACATTACATGAAGCTTAAAATTAGCAGAAGACTTGTTTAACCTTCATAGAAGACAGAAACCTTGGAAGACATGAGGAGTGAGGCTGGATTACTTAATCTGAGATTATGCATGCCTCCTCTCTTCTGCAACTGCTGGTTTAGACAATTCTCTCTGCTCCTCATTTACAGACTGTATATTTTAAACAATATCACTAATATATGCTACTTATATTAAAAGAGGCCAGTGTCAACAATGACTCTGGCAAATATTTGCCTGCAATTTACAAGAATAACTACAGGGCAGTGATGGCTATTTTATATTTTTGCTGCCTGAAGCCATAGTAGAATAAAACAGAATGTGAAACTCAGCCCAGCCCGCTATCGCATTAGCGGCAGAGATGTTTCATGTGTAAAAGGAAAAAGATAGTTTGATGGCTCCAATATAACTTGACTAGCTACGTTGAATAGCATGAATTGATATACTTCATTAAAATCACTTTTTTTTACTCAAAAGCTGTGAAACAGAGAAGAAAGTGAAACTGAAACAGTCTTGATTTGTTTTTCCAGTAAGCCTTCTTCAGTATTTATGGTCATTTCCAGAACAATTTATTGTATTTGTTTCTATTTGTCCTTTCATAATACAATACTTTAACACTACTTTCCTAAACAGTTTTAAGAGAATATTGTAATTAACTTATGAAGGATTGTTCTATAGATTTTTTTTCTATGTTCAGTTGATTAGCCCTATAATATGATCCTTAGTAAAAGTATCAAAGATAAAATAACAAATAACAACAGTTTCTTTCTTTCTTTCTTTCTTTCTTTCTTTCTTTCTTTCTTTCTTTCCTTCTTCCTTCCTTCCTTCCTTCCTTCCTTCCTTCCTTCCTTCCTTCCTTCCTTCCTTCCAGGGACGGAGAATTGTGTCTTTAGGTTTCCCTTCCAAACCATGGATTGTGACAGTTTACCTCAAAAACTGGCCAGAAATTATGTTGAAAGGTTTGGATATGCATCACTGATATGAAATGAACAAAATAATAGCAATATAAGAAGCTAGTAACAGGAGGAAACTCACCAAATGCAAAATTATCAAGCAATTACAATATATGCACTGCAGATATATACACTTGTTGAACTAGAAATGGCTGCATTTATTAATATAACCTAAATAAGAAATCTTATCCTGGGATGCTGAGGAATATTGTAGCTGAGCTTCAGATATCCAGAATGGCAGCAGAGTTAGGATTTTCTACATTCTTTCCTTCCATCTTGTAGTCACTTGGATTTATGGAGTCCAGATCTGAAAGCTTTAGGGGAGCCACCATTAAGAAAGTCTTTACAAATATTCTGTTACCTGTGAAAGCAACATTTATTACAAGAGGTCTTTGAAATGTTATGTGGCATGACATCTGGTTACTTATTATTTTCCTTCAAAGATGAGCAAATTCATGTGCGGGAAAATAACAAGTAAGCAGATGTCATGCCACATAACATTTCAAAGATAGTAAGAGGTAATCTGAAGTGTACTCAGAAATGGAATGCCAGTAAGTTCAGTTATCTGTCTTGTAAAACCCAAGAACTGCTCAAACTTTGGTGTCATATGAACAATCCTTAATCTATAGCTATTATTTTTAATTTTTTTATCAGTTTGGGTGCTGCCTCAGTCACTAAAATAATTCCATGCAGCTTGAAGAGATTCAAGACACCACCTTTAGCAGCTAGAGATCTCTGTAAAAAGTACCAAATTGGCATACTTCATCCAAGATCAATAAAATGTTTAGAAATTTTATCTGAATTCCATAAAGCACATATCAAAACTACAAATGTTCTCCTGCAGTAGATTCTAAGTGAAATGTTCTTTAGCCTCTTACGTGTTGGGATTACCAGCAACAAATGATTTGGCAGGATCCTTCCTTTGTACAGTTTGATAGGGTCCTAGGAAATGAATATTCTTTTTCGGCCAAAGTTATATTGCAAAAGCAAATATAGAGTAGAACAGTGATCTCAATGATTTCAGTATAAAAAGGGCAGAAAGGGTTAGTGTTAAAGTCTGCCTCTCCTTCCCACTTAGACTTAATTAAACCCTTAAGATAAAAACATGCTGAATGATTTGAAGTATTTTTGCCTCTTTCAAAATGGTGGCTACTAGGTATTAAGTACAACCCATAGTGACACCACCACCTGTGCTTGCTGAGCTATTGAAAAACAAGAAGTAAATAAGTGTCGTCAACAGCAACAGAGCTGCTTCCCATTGTGTACCAATTTGAAGATGCAAGTGGACTTTGCAGATGTGAGCCCTGATCATGCTAAATATACCTTTCCAAGGGCTGTGTAGGCCAGATAGGTAGATATGTGGCTGACTGAGAATAGAGAAAAGGAATTCAGTATGCAAATGTCTTTCAATTATACATTTAATGATCCCCAGTGCCCCCCTTGTGGTCTTTTACTCAATGAATGTAATGGCCTTATTGCTGTGACTGACATTAACCTTGGCAGTTGCTCAGCTGGATTAAGCTGGCCTTGTGCCAAGGAAGCCAATGAGGTAATTGTGATTTACACGCTGGCTGATGACATCAACCGCACTGCTTGTTTCACTGGGTGAACATTTGTCTACTAAGAAAGAATGGTAAACACCTGGAGCATTTTTCCCTGGACAGGTGCTGAATTGAGATACTAACAATTTGTCATAGCCTTGACAACCATCCAGACAATAAGATACTTCATATGCAATCTCTTGAATAACTCAGCATCATATTTTTTTCTTAATTTTTTTCCTGAATTATGAAATTACTTTTTCTTCTTTGTTCCAACTGAAAATATATTAGTCCATGAAAGAAGGAATGGAAAGAAGAAAACTAATGGAAGAAGAAGGCTCAAATAAAGGACAGTCACTAAATAGGATTGAGGCTGTGGGGGGTGGGGAAGCATTCTTTAAAAGAAACATGCATCAAATTAATGGACAATAAACTCCAGGAATAAAAGAAGAGTGCTGTGCAGATGTTCGCTATGTAATCATTTGCTGCATTTATTCCTTTGACAAATGCCCAAACCTATAACAATTATAGATTGTTGTAACTAGCATTTCAAGAAAATGATCTGCCACACATACTCAGCCTGTTTCATCTGACAGCCGCCAAACTGCTTTTTGCAAAGTAGTTTAGCTCCAAATTAGCTCTCTACAGCATTAAATACCAGCTTGCCAGGATATCTTTGAGATGAATACCATATATATCCATAATATTCTGGGATTTGAAGCATATGTGCCAGAAAGCTGAGATCACCTCCTTTTGAAAATACAGTATATATTACTCTGGGGTTCATGTCAGTCTCAGAAATGTCAGTCTTAAAACCTTCCAGTGATGCTGATGTTAGGATCCTTTGGAAAATTGGCACTTCTATAAATTGAGAATGTTATGAGTGGTCAAGATGTTATGATATCCAAATAACTATACAATAATTTAAGATGTGGAAATCCCAAATAAGCTACTCAACAGATAATCATGTGTTCATAGAAATGGTTATTTCTTTTTTTCCCCCTCTTAAAAAACATTGCTATTTTTTTAAAAAAGAGTTTGCCCCGCAGCAATGATATAAAAAAAATATGAAAAAATTGTGACGTTATATCTAAAAATTTAATCTCTTACTTCAGTCTTATAACAACAGCGTAGCTTTTAGCTTTCTAAAATAACTATATCTTTAGTCTTCCTCTATGTACTGCAAAGTCTTAATTTGACAAGCCCATCTGTATTAATGCATTGTGCTGTACATGAGGTTCTTGAAGATCACACCTGGAAACTTCAATTGGTCTAGACTTCAGCAGTGTGCGTAGTAATGGGGCCCCCTACGTTTGCCCATGTAAACCTCTGTTGTGTGAAATGCACTGGCTTCCAGTTTCTTTCTGGGTGCAATTCAAAGTACTGGTCCTCATCTTTAAAGCCCTACATGGCACAGGGCCTGGCTATCTGCAGGCCTGCCTTTCCTTAAGGAGATCTACCAGTAGCATGTCAGATAGGATGGGCATGATTCTAGTCCTTTCCCTAGATGTTGAGACCAGTGGTGGGATTCAGCCAGTTCGCACCACTTCAGGAGAACCGGTTGTTAACTTTCTGAGCAGTTTTGCAAACTGGTTGTTAGAAGAAATCATTAGAGCAGAGAACCGGTTGTTAAATTACTTGAATCCCACCACTGGTTGAGACCTATGAAGCATGTCTTTTCCATTGGAGCCCCTGCCCTATGGGACATTCTACTTCCTCAAATTTGGCAGCCTCCACCCTTTTAGCCTTGTGTAATTTTTAAAGAATGGGCAAGCATTGGGAGAATATTAGATGATTGTACATTAGAACAAATCAGCACCAGGTTACTGTTTTATCATTTTGAAATGTTTTTAAATGTCTTTTAATTTCTTATTGGCAGCCATCTAGAAATAGTTAAAAGATGAGTGGCTATATAAAAGTTTTAAATAAATACTATACTTCTGTGTCAGAAGCACCGAAGCACTTCTGTGATGAAAAGATCAGCTGGTGACGTCACCATTGCCCAGGGAATGCCCAATTGGAGGCTCCTTTCGTTTCCCTGTTAATGAGCCCACTGAAGTGGTACCTATTCATCTATTCGTGTTTGCACACTTTCAAACTGCTAGGTGGGCAGGATCTGGAGTGAAGGACAGGAGCTGACCCCGTCACACAGCAGTACTAGTCTTGAACATGGACTTGCTGATTGTCAACCCAGCGTTCTAATCACATGAGCCACCTCACTTCCCATTTTAAATAAACAAATTGGGGCAAGGGTTCCATTAAATCCAAATGACTATTAAATCTAAATTTATATAAATTGGCTTTTACATTATTTGTTCAGATTTGATCTGTTGCATTCAAACAGAGGTCACTAAATTGAGATTTCACTGTAATATCCTATTGCATAGAAGAAAAAGGTAGATTATCTTCATTTATTATGTTGAGTTTTCTAAAATATAATAAATTATTCAAACTCCACTAGCCATATTTTATGGTTGATTGATTTAATAAACATAATACGTTTAAAATAATTGTCACTATCATATATGAAATTCAGTAGGAATTAATAATCCAAGTATGGATATAAATTATTTTCAGGTAACACAAGAGTAAAGGTCAAAGATGGACAGGCTAGCTTTCAGAATTTGATTGTGTCCAGCTCTTGCTCCGACTGCCACCTCATTTTCAAAGTTACTTCTCCTCCAGGTAAGATGCTTATCTAGTAAAAAGTCTAATGGATATAATATAATAAACATTTTCTGAAATTAAGCGGGCAACGGATAAGATCAAAGCCTTCCTATAACCTGCTCTTGTGCTTTCTCAGGGATATCAAAACTATATTGTCTGTGTGTATTTTATTTATTTTATTAAATTTATATGATGCCAATCTTACTATATATATATAATGTATACACATATACAGCATAAGGTAAAGGTTCCCCTCGCACGTATGTGCTAGTCGTTCCCGACTCTAGCGGGCGGTGCTCATCTCTGTTTTAAAGCCAAAGAGCCAGCGCTGTCTGAAGACATCTCTGTGGTCATGTGGCCGGCATGACTAAACACCAAAGGTGCACGGAATGCTGTTACCTTCCTACCAAAGGTGGTCCCTATTTTTCTACTTGCATTTTTTACGTGCTTTCGAACTGCTAGGTTGGCAGAAGCTGGGACAAGTAAAGGGAGCTCACCCAGTTACGTGGCACTAGGGATTCGAACTGCTGACTTGCCGACCTTTCGATCAACAAGCTCAGCATCTTAGCCATTGAGCCACCGCATCCCTTATATATAGCATATATACATGCAAAATAATAATCTCATTAGTAATGGTTTTTAAGAAATTATAAAAACAGATATATATTTGTATTTCAGTTCATTAACATCTTCAAATCCAAACTGCACAATAGTTCATTTATACTAGAAATGGTGATCAATTTGTAAAACTTTTCATTAATTGTGTAGTATTTATGTCTATCTGTATCCATCTACATACCTATTTTATGGCAGATTTGGGTTTTTTATCAATTTAGATAAATCAATATTTCAACTTCTAGTGTGAAATGAAATCTGCTTTTGTATGTTTCTAGATGGATTCCAAAAGCTGGAAAAGCAGATTCACACATTATGTACACCCAATGTAATGAAAGAATTTTCCCCATTTTCTTTGCTTTTTATCTTGGATAATTCAAATTAAAAGAGAAACATAATTGGTCCTAGATTTAATTCCTTTAGTTCAAAGAAACATTTCTTCCCTAGTGCAAATAAGCCATGTTGCTGTAATTTTAACATGAAGATAGTACACTTACATATTGTTAAAATGAAACTCAAAGAGTACATCTATATCAATAAACTACATACGATAATTTCAGAATAGCTTTTTTCAGTATTGGTCTGTGGGGGCAAATGAGAAACTCATTGAACTCTAAAAAATTCATAATGAACTGATTCCATCTTAGAAATTGGATATGGAATTTTAAATTTGGTGAGTATGAAGAAAAATCTGATGAAAAGCTTGGGTAATGGTTATGCTGATTTCTTGGAGTTCTATTTATTTATTTTTTTGGACCTCAGCTATGTGTGAGTCTGAATGTGTGTCTCATTGTTATAGTAAATGTGTTTTAATGATTTTTTTTACTGTTGTTAGCTGCCCAGAGTCATGAATTTGAGATAGGTGAATGTATAAATTGAATAATTGAATCGAATAGATGAATGAATGAATGGCAGAAATATGGAAGGTTTCTGTGTGTAGTATTGATTAATGAGTGACAGAACAATTTATATTGGTTCAACATGTTGTCAAAACATTTATCAAGAGACATAATTCATTTTACATATGAAATTCTTAGCATACCTGTCATAGGAGATCTTTTACTTTTCCTACTGACAAGTATCTTGCAAAAGGGAAGGTAAAGAGCAACCCACTTTTATCTTAGCCATTGGCAAGCCACCTTGTTTCTCAGAAAATAATTATATCAAGAAGAGATCAACTTTTCACCTTGCTCCTGCCAAACAAAGAAAACTTATGGAGAATTTTGGTGCCTACCAGAAAGTTGGAATACACCACTTGTAACTGAAAGTTGAAATAGGAAGCAAGAATCGACCTCATCAAAAATCAGTTAGCCAAAGGACCATAAAATGTTACTCTTGGAACAATACAATAAGGAAAGATCAGTCCACATCTGATTTGTATAGATATACTCGTGCATTTCTCTACATTTCCAAACACAATTCAAAACGCACTGACAGTATCTCCTTGAATGGTGACAAAACATTTGCAATCAAATTGCCAAGCTCAGAGCTCAAACCAACAGCTTAACTTCCAACTGGATCTACTAATATTGCAACACATTGCATATTTAATTATTGGTTCAAATTAGAGTTTTGACTCTTTTGAGTCAAAACTCCAATCCCAATAATCTCATAGATACCTCCATGAAGTTTCCTTAGCAATGGAAATTGTTTCCTATTTCCTTCTTCTAGGATTTTTTTTAAATTTCCTAGTCTAGCGTATAGCTCTGGGATTCACTTGTATCCTATCAAAGTATTAATCGGATACTTGCCTGATCAAAGACCAAATAATATTTGGAGTTCTCCAAGAGGCAGTCAAAATTGCCCTATAAGAGCAATAGATTCAAGAAATAGGCCAAGGGGCCAATACATTGAAGGTATTAAATTAATTCTTTGCACCAGTAAAAATAAGACAAACAGATTGTCTGTTTCTGAATTGCATTTTTATGAAACAGTATGTCTTTGCAGGTGCATTCAGCTTCATTTGCTGACATTTTCACTTAAAGGGATAACTGAGATTGAGAGCATGGTTGCGACTGAGACTGAAAAGGACTTTTCCCTGGGACTTTTATATAAGTGTAAAAGCAGCTGTTGAGAAAGATAATCAAATATTAGCATATTTGTCAACCCTGAAACGAACCTGGCTGAGGCCATCTTTGAGGCTTCAGGGTTGCCACAAGGCAGAAGAAGAGACAGGGAGGGGGAAAATAGATAGCGGGGGTTTGTAGTCAAAACAAAAAGTTTTCTGTGGGAACCAAGGACATTCCAACAGGTGCTGGGGAGAGGAGGAGTCGAGTAACCAAGCAACCGGCCAGCACATCTATTGGACAATGTGACTGATGACTTAGGGGAACGGGGAACTTTCACTTTTTAATTAAGTGAAAACCACAAGAACTTTCAGTTGGTTTTCAGCAGTTGTGCCAATATGATGTATCCAATAAATTGTTCTCTGAGGAATCTACCTGCCTCGGAGTTCTGCTTCCTATGGGTGCATTACTTGGAATGCTGACAATGTTGATATTTATTATTGATATTCATAATGACTTCATTGTTTTATAAATGTGAAACAGCCTGAGACACAATTTTCTTTCTTGTGATATTTGTTTAAAGCATGTGTTCTTTGTTTAATTACTTTAAGCTACATATTTATTTTTTTCAGGTGCTGCTTTATCTGTTGAATCAAGTTCTTTTACTGTTTTCCCTGTTGCTGTATCAGAAAAATCCGCCATCATCTTTACTGCTCTCCTGTGTTCAGTAGCCTCCATGCTTGTTTTGGGATTTGTTCTTATTTGTTGGCTCAAGAAAAGCAAGAGAAACAGTAAGTCACAAATTGGCATGATGATTATCTACTATGATTTATAGGAAAAACAGACTTTGCAATTAGCAATAGCTGGTGAAAGAATGTTGCAGTCTCCCAGTTACAACAGGGATGTGAAAATGCTTTCTGCTGATCCACATTTGCTTTGCCTTGAGCCTTCTGTGCTAGTTCTTGATGGAGTATCTCTTGGGCCACTTCTCCTATCACCATTGGCACTGCATTCCCAATGAATGAGACAAATGGGAACAGGAGACAAATTGTGGAAGGGGGGAAAAAAATAGTCACTGTACATTTTTATGCAAAATTGACTACTTCTTTCTTCTTGAACCAGCACACAAACCAGAATTAGATTTTTTAAAAAATTGGCAAGCAGCTATTTGAAAAAAAAAAGTATGTAGACGCTTATATTAGTAGTAATAAATACACAAAATGTATGTTGGCAAAGTTAACATACAAGAATGGCTATGAAGAAAAAAACAATCCAAGTACAAAAAGTTTATATGAAAAAGTATAAATTAGAAGCAGTGAGTATGAAAAAGGTCCTGGAATAATATTATTGTTGACTTTTTAAAAAACGACTATCCAATGCAGATATATAAAGAAACAAACAAGGATGAAAAAATGAGAAACAATAAACCTGAATTTTATTCAGCTTCACACTTCCCAACTGTGTCAAATGTATTCTGCTTAAAATATGATGTAATTGGTACTGATTATTACATGTTGCCCTGAATTTCTTTTACTTTTCTAACACTCTAATGGTGTATTGAATAAGATAGGGACTTTTCCATGGTCTTCTCCCAAGTTTCATGGTTGGTCAAAGCCTCTATTAATGTAATCCTCTGGGTGTACTAGTGAGCTGACTAAAAACCATTTAAGATGCATTTTTGCCAAACAGATATATAGTCAAGTATTTCAAGTTATAGTCATATGTATTGTTCAGAAATTTTGCAGTTCAGTTCAAGTTAAATGTCTTAATATTTCAAACAGTTGACATGTCAGAATTCAAGCATTTATGTTTAATTTTTTTAATGATACTTTTTATAACTATAATACTTTTATTTGTCAACTCATTGCTCTGGAGAAAATGTTCCTGTAAAAAAAAAATATGTATACATAAAAATGGTTCTAGGTAGACATACCGTAAATTCATACTAAATTTATTTGAATTAATGAATGTTTACTGTTATTCTCATTAAGCTTTTTTTTTATATATTTTGATGTAGAAAATAAGCTCAGACAATCTCAGAAGAATAAAAAATGCTCCCAAATACAGGAAAAACAAACAAATTGTGGTCTCCATCAGCACTGCATTGAGAAAGGAAATGAACATTCCACTTCTAAGAGAGAAGGTGAGTTTATTGAATGCCAAAAAGGATGCAACCCGTTACAAAGCATATTTTATCTGAAACATTTTAGCTATGATAATTTAGACCTCTGCCTGGCAGAGATTTAATTCTCTGAGCTGGACTTTTCTGATACATTTCCCCCTCACCAAGTATACATACATACAAAGAGAAAGCAAGAGTGTATGTGTATGTGTATGTGTATGTTAGGGGTGAGTTCTACTTACCTTTACTACCGGTTCGCAACGTGGTTGCACGTTTGTGCTCGATTTGCTTGTGTGCAGCGCACTCTTCTGTGCATGTGCAGAAGCTTCTGCATATGTGCAGAAGTGTTCTGATGACGTCGGGATCGGTGGGCGGAGTGCCCCACCGGTTTTACTACCAGTTCTATAGAACCAGTCTGAACCGGGGGCAACCCACCACTGGTGTATGTGCATATACATATGCATATACATATGCACATGTACATATATGCCTCTATTATAATTATTGCTTTAGATGTAGTTTTTAGAGTTAGATTTTTCAGGGAGAGAGGGTAATTCCTGGAGAACAATTTTTGTTTTCTATTAGTCTCTTTTGTCTCAAACAGAACATAGATTTGATCTTCCAACATTTTATTTCAGAGGTTCTCAAGAGACAGAAAGGAAATCTTAGATTTTTGAATCGTACAGTTAGTCTTCAACTTACAACCACCATTGAGCCCAAATCTTCTGTTACTAAGTGAAACATTTCTTAAGTGATTTTGCTGCATTTTATGACCTTTCTTGCCATAGTTGTTAAGCGAATCACTGTAGTTGTTAAATTAGTCAAACCTTTGTTAAATGAATCTGGCTTTCCCATTGACTTTGCTTGTCAGAAGGTCGCAAAAGAGGATCACATGACCATGGGACATTGCAACTATCATAAATATGAGTCAATTGGCAAGCAGCTGAATTTTGATCACATGACCATGGGGCTGCTGTAACAGTTACAAGTGGGAAAACTGGTTTAAGTCACTTTTTTCAGTGCCGTTGTAAATTTGAATGTCACTAAATGAACTGTTATGGAGTATTGAGCAAAATGAATCAATCATTTTTGTACTGAGTTTCTTATAAATATGTATCATTATGCCCAGTTTGACTTATTCTGGAGAATGGATATCTAAGGTTGATAACTACTATGAAATATAAAACAACCTTTATTGAAATTTGAATGTTCATAACCAAACAGGAGTTGTTTTGACTTGCAAGTCACAAATTGTTTTAATGACATAGTTATTAAAAACTCACTATTGCAAAAAATATTACTTGAAATAATTGATATTAAATATTGATTGGCTAGATTTTATATTATCTATATTATGAACACTTCACTATAAATTGTTTTGATCAATCCTTTGTGAGTTTAACACATCTATCAATCTATCTATGAAAGACCATGACAATTCTTTTGTTTAAAATGCTACTTAAGAACACAACATCTGGTTGTTTTGATATATGCAAGCATTACATTTTGTCATAATTCATCCTTAGAGAAACTGAGAAACAATATGTAAAACCACATAGAAAAAATTATGAAAAATGAATGGATTTGAGACTATTTTATATGTAAAATTTTGGGGAAAAGGAGTACCTGGAATTAAAGTAAAGGAACTCCACTGGTCAGAATGGGCCAATTTGCCACAGCCAACATGCTACAGGATAACTTGCCATGGCAAACTCACTGGTAGACAACTCATTGCAAGGCAATTCAACAAATACAAAAGTTAAATTAATATTGATTCTACATTTAGGCAAGAAAAACAAAATGCACAGGTACAATATATGTGGTACCTCACTCAACAGTAGTAACTGTGAGAGAGATCTTGGATTCCTAGTGGACAACCATTTAAATATGAGTCAGCAGTGTGCTGCAGCTGCCAAAAAAACCAACACAATTCTAGGCTGCATAAACAGAGGGATAGAATCAAGATCACGTGAATTATTAATATCACTTTATAATGCCTTGGTAAGGCCACACTTGGAATACTGCATCCAGTTTTGGTCACCATGATGTAAAAAAGATGTTAAGACTCTAGAAAGAGTGCAGAGAAGAGCAACAAAGATGATTACGGGATTGGAGGCTAAAACATATGAAGAACGGTTGCAGGAACTGGATATGTCTAGTTTAATGAAAAGAAGGACTAGGGGAGACATGATAGCAGCGTTTCAATATCTCAGGGGCTGCCATAAAGAAGAGGGTGTCAAGCTATTCTCCAAAGCACCTGAGGGTAGAACAAGAAACAATGGGTGGAAATTAATCAAAGAGAGAAGCAACTCAGAACTAAGGAGAAATTTCCTGACAGTTAGAATAATTAATCAGTGGAACAACTTGCCTCCAGAAGTTGTGAATGCTCCAACACTGGAAGTTTTTAAGAAGAGATTGGAGACCATTTGTCTGAAATGGTATAGGGCCGTGATGGCGAACCTATGGCACATGTGCCACAGGTGGCACGCGTAGTCATATCAGTGGGCACGCCAGCTCAGCTCTGGGGCACATGCACGTGCTGGCCAGCTGATTTTCAGGCCTTCTGGGCCCACCAGAAGTAGGGAAACAGGCTGTTTCCTGCCTCCGGAGGGCCTGGGGGGGCGGAGGCCCGTTTTTCTTTCTTACCTGGCTCCAGATCCTCTCTATACATCTGGGAAGGGCAAAAACAGCCTTTCCCACTCCCTCGGAGGCTTTCCAAAGGCCTGAAATGGCCCATTTCCCAACTCCCAGTGGGGCAGGAAGTGACTTTTTTGCTGTCCCCAGCCTCCAGAACCTCTCTAGGAGTCTCTAGGAGCATCTCTAGGAGTCTCTAGGAGCCTCTCTAGGAGTCTCAGGAGCCTCTCTAGGAGTCTCTGGAGGCTGGGGACAGCAAAAAAGTCACTTCCTGCCCCACCGGGAGTTGGGAAATGGGCCATTTCAGGCCTTTGGAAGGCCTCCGAGGGAGTGAGAAAGGCTGTTTTCGCCATTCCCAGATAAATAGAGAGGATCTGGAACCAGGTAAGAAAGAAAAACTGGCCTACCAGGCCATCATGTGCCCCCCTCTCCTGGCACGCGATGGCAAAAAGGTTAGCCATCACGGGTATAGGGTTTCCTGCCTAAGCAAGGAGTTGGAATGGAAGGCCTCCAAGGTCCCTTCCAACTCTGTTATTCTATTCTAGAATAGATTGTATATTGTATATACTCGATAGAACAAAACAAAGTAAATCCAGAAATACAAGTGTTACAATGATTTTGATGAAAATGTGATCTCCAATAATAAAAGTAACTGAATGAGACAATTAATATAGTATTGAATTGCCCCACAGTGAGTTGGCCATGGCGAGTTGTCCTAGACCCCCACTGGTAAACCTTCTGCAATCATTTGCAAAATAAAGGCAGATGGATTATTTGATATTTCTTATCCTTCCTCTTATGCAAGAAGTTGAGCAGATTCCTGTCTTATTACAAATGCAGAAAATATGTTTAGAATTTTTTCACTTTTCTCATACAATATTACATAATGGAACAAAGACTTTCTCTAGAAAGAAAAGTTATTATATTTGTTTCTGCATGTGAAATGGAATCTTTGCATCAGTTCATACTGTTTCCTTGTGTTCTTTCAGTTATTCCGGTTGTCTGGTAGATAATGAAATTTAAGTAAAGTTAGGATTTTTTAAGGTGTGTCAGTTATTTATTTACTCCATATTTATAGAAATCAATTTTTATCTGGAAATTGCAACTAGCAATTTGCACACTTCAGTCAACTACGCTGTTTTTTCAAACATGTCCAACAATTCTTCACTATTGCTTATATCTCTATGATTTTAAATCTATTTCACACTGTTCTTGTTCATTTTGGTGGGGGGATTTTTCAAATTTGAACCCCTGCTATTGATATAGTGTATCTCAAAGAATCTCTATGGAGTTGGGAGTTGGTCTCTGACAGAAAGCCACTTGAAGAAACTAGAAGCATTTGAAATGTGGATTCACAGGCAACTGTTACGTATAAGCTGGGTTGACAAAATCAGAAATGAGGAGGTGATAAGCCGCCTGGGAAAGCCAAGAGAAATCATCAAAACCATAAAAAAGTGAAAGTTAGAATACTTTGGACATATAATGTGACATCCAGAAAAATATGTCATACTTCACTTAATCCTCCAAGGAAAGATTGAAGGCAAACACAGTCCAGGCAGAAGAAGAACATCATGGCTTCAAAATCTAAGGGACTGGTTTGAACAAAACTCAACAGCATTTTTTCGTACGGTTGTTGATAAAAATAGGATCGCCAACATGATCGCCAACGTCTGATGATGGATATGGCACAAAAAGAAGAAGAAGATCTCAAAGAATGCACCTGGCTAGAGTTTGGTTTCCATTCATGTCCTAGGGTTGGAGGCAAAGAAGGGCTAGATTGCAGTTTGTGAATAAAAGCTTAGCCTCAATTTTCTCTCTCTAAAAATATTGCTTGAGAAGGCACAAGTATGTGTGTATAAACTGGGGAGAAGAATGGTATGTTATTCTACTGAAGGTAAGACTAAGAATGCAAAAAAGAATTGCAAGTGCTTTTCTGGACTCAAACTTGTTGCATATGAAAGAAGCAGAAAGAAGCTAGTTTTAAGTTTCATTTTCTGATTTTAATTAATATTTATTACAGAAGAGCAGAAGGAGCAAAAAAGGAAATGCTACAATTTGTATGTTTTGATATTTGCTATATTCTTTCAAAATACAGCATTCAGCTGTATGCCTTAGGATACATATCTGCTATAAATTCATTTTTTATCTAATTTGTCTGAGATCTAAGCTTCCTGTGGAGGTCTGAGATCAAAGGATCTGATTCTTTCTGATGTTGGCTCTGACATATAATGTGTGCTGACTTAGTTCTGTCTATAAAATCACAGTAGGAGACTGTCATAGTCCTTTGGAACCTTTACATAGTGGACTTTTATTTCAGCTGGTAAGGATGACAGGTACCTCAATGATTGGAGCTAACGTGTAAATAATTAATGGGAAGATTTTTTTTTTTCACTCTCTCTCTCTCTCTCTCTCTCTCCCTGCAAAAGAAAATCCAGGCCTTTAGAATATTTTCTAAAAGAAATTGCTGGAAGATCAGTAAAAAAAATCCCTGATATATTCAGATTTTAAATAGGAATAACAATATATTAAGCTAATATAAAATGCATGACATGAAGTATCTAATTTTTTAAACATCCCCTACCTTTTAAAACATTGTTGCTTTTGAAAATGGAGAGACCGTCAAAGGTAATTATTTCTCCTTCGTTTCTGCCAGCTAATTTTATTTTCCGTGGAATATATTTGAGCCAATATATTTTTTGGCATTTTAACTAGTGTTTAGGGATATAAAACAGAGTAAACCAGTTTAGAACTTAATATAACATGAATCATCTAAGAGATTAGATTTGCTTTGATTTAGCTACTTTCATCCAACTGCATAATGACATAGGACCAAATCCAAATATTTTCTCTTTGTTGATAAAAGATTTTAATCAGCAGGTTGAGGAAAGATATGATTTTCATCCATTTCCGCTCCTTTGACTCTGCTCATTTTCCAAATTCTCTTACAGAAGGATCCTTTCTAAAGCCAACCATACAAGAATTCACTGATTAGCCCTCCCTGTTCTACTGAAGGAAGCCTTGCATTGGCAAAGGAAATTAGCTGGATTCTATTCATGGTTTTAAAGGATCACCATATGTAGGCCACCATAATGAGAAAATAGGTGTCCTCTTTTTTTTTCTTTTGTTTTATTTCTGGAATATAATCACCATTTTCAGATGATTAAATGTAAAACACAATAAATAAATGTTGTGATAAATAAATACATAAACAAACAAACAAACAAATAAATAAAAAGTTTAAACTGGGACAAAGTATGAAAAAGGAAGACAGCAAACATAGTTTGGCTAGTCCCCTTTCCTTTTTGGCATCTAGGCTCAATTCACAGTTTTTCTATCATGTGTCAGTAACTGTTGAGCAGCTTTTAAGAAAGCTGAGAATGTATTCATTTACTACCATCACTGACAGACTATGTGTTTTCTAACAGATATAAAACTGTGTGAAGAACTTACAGAAGAGCCATTAAAGAAGTTGCATCAAAAAACATTGAGCCCCACATTAACAGGAACAGCAAATGAAATCGAACAAGACCATTGGCTCAATAAAAGGAAATCAACCAGGGAGTCTCTGGAGCTTCAGGAACTTCACATCAAGGAGCTTAATGAATGGAAGAAGACCAAACAGCATATCATTGACTATGTTCAGCATAAAGAAATGAAAGGAGAGCAATTCATAGACCAAAAACATAAAAAACACAAAGAGATGCCTGTGACAAGATCTGAAGAAGATGTGAGGGGAAAACAGGAAATTACAGTATCATAATATCTAAATGTTCCTGAGTGTTTGGCTGCTTTTGGACTTCTTATTTGTAATGTAACTGCATATTTTGAGACATAGAAAATGGAGATAATTTGTTTAATTTTTAGAGTGAAATGAACAAAGACCAATGGGCAAGTAATGCTCCTATGAGCTGTTTCTAGCATAAATCACTAGAGATGGTTTTAGTGGTGTTTTGTTATCTCATGATCACTGTTATTCCTCTTACTTACTGATTTTAGCCATATTATGTATATTGCCATGGTGGTGCAGTGGTTAGAATGCCGTATTGCAGGATAACTCTGCCAACTGTCAGCAGTTCGATCGTGACCGGCTCAAGGTTCACTCAGCCTTCCATCTTTCCAAGGTCAGTAAAATGAGGACCAAAATTGTTGGGGGCAATATACTGACTTTGTAAACCACTTGGAGACTGCTCTAAAGCACTGTGAAGCACTATAAAAATCTAAGTGCTACTGCTATTGCTAGAGGAGATGTAGAATGGTAAATCAACTGCTGTTTTTGTTTGCCTTGTTACATGCTTATTTAGTTGTGGGCCTTATTTCAGAAAATAATATTAAATCAGTATAATCATTTAAACTATAAAATTGTTTAACTAAATAAAATAGTTTAAAATGCTAAGGCCATGGGAAATGATACAGACAGACCTTTCCAGCACCATTTTCAAGAAATGAGTCAAAGTCTTATGAATAAAAGTTGATTCAGAATTTACACTGGCCTTTGGAATTAGCATCTCCCAAAACTACTGTCCTAGCATGTAGTCCACTAGAACTCACAAAATAAGCGGGATCAATATAGTGACTTTTCTCATTTTCAATATGAATAGATGTAAAGAATTTCAAGTGAAGGCTTGAATCATTCCATCATTTCTGATAAATTATATCCAATAATGTAAATTTCAATTGGATTAGCACTGCAAGTATTTTATGCTATTACCGTAATTTCTAATGAAGATTGTATGAGTGTAGTTCCATGTGCATAAAGATAAAGGTAAAGGTTTCCCTCACACATATGTGCTAGTCGTTCCCGACTCTAACGGGCGGTGCTCATCTCTGTTTCAAAGCTGAAGAGCCAGGGCTGTCCGAAGATGTCTCCGTGGTCATGTGGCTGGCATGACTAAATGCCAAAGGTGCACGGAACGCTGTTACCTTCCCAACAAAGGTGGTCCCTATTTTTCTACTTGCATTTTTTTACGTGCTTTTGAACTGCTAGGTTGGCAGAAGCTGGGACAAGTAATGGGAGCTCACCTCGTTACACGGCGCTAGGGATTCAAACCGCTGAACTGCCGATCTTTCGATTGACAAGCTCAGCAATTTATCCACTGAGCCACCGCATCCTAGATCCATATGTGCTAATTGTGTATGCATACAATTAGGGTGCACATTTGCTTTACAAGTTAGTTTTTATAACTAAGACATCTTAGTTATCTCTTATTCTCTGGAATCCAATACATCCATTATTTACATGCCCGTGTAAATAAGTATCTAATTTCTTAAACTGGGTTGCATTCATATAATGGCAAAATTATGTTTGCTTCATTATTTCAAAGAGATAGCAAGAACTAAAAATATGTTGAATCTGTCACATAAATGATTGTGTCAATATAGATATTTTATATGGGAAATTCAGAAGACCAGAGCCCAACACTGAGGAAAAATAGCAAACTGTTTAATCAATAATAAATGGATTGATCAATGGGAAATGTCTATGGAGATTCTCAGTCAACCAGGTCATAGTTGTCCTTTTTCAAGAGGCAACTGGCAACTTGTTTTTCTTTGAATAAGTTTCATTTCTCATCTATGAAGCTTCTTCAGCTCTGTTTTGAAGAGGCAGCTGGACTTTCTTGTTTTTCTTTGAAGATGTTTGAAGATGACAACGATAATTGGAAACAAAGATTTTCACAGAAACCGAGAACTATAGGGTGGAAAATCCTAGGGATCTGATTGTTTGACAACATTTAAAGAACTTGGCTGGTTGTACTGTGGTGGGTTAGGAAGGCTTCAATTCTTAGGCTCAGATGGGATTTCAGGGGGCATTGTCTGAAGGCAGGCTGGATCAATTTGGGGCTGATAGAATTAAGCAAAAGACAGGGAGGAAGGGGGAGTGCAGCATCCATTTGGTTTCTCATCTATATTTTCTGTACCCCTTTTTTTATACAAGAAAATGTTGGTGGCCAAAACCATGGTAACAAGTCTTTTGATTTTGCTACTATTACTAGTTTAGGGTTTAAATTAATTATTTATTTCCAATTATTTCATAGTTAAATGTTGATAGTTTTATAACCCTACAGTTAAAGGCTGTAATTACAGTTACAAAATTCAGATGCTTGGCAATTGACTCATATTTATGACATTTGCAGTGTCCAGGGTTAGGTGGTCCTCTTTTGGGACCTTCTGACAAGCAGAGTCAATGGGGAAGCCAGATTCACTTAACAACCAGGTTACTAACTTATCAACTTCAGTGATTCACTTAACAACAGAAATTTGGGGCTCAATTGTGATTATAAGTTGAGGACTACCTGTAATTTGGCAGCCAAAAATAGTATTTACTTCCACAGGGCAACATAAGTTGTTGGAACTGTCTTTTAAAGATGCCCTTCTTCCCTTCTTCCAGTTACATTTTATGGAAAATACTTTTTCTGAAGCCCTGGCTGGTTAAGCAGGTTAATATAGAAGGAGATTTTCTTTCAGATAGTTGGACTTCACTAACTATTTAGGAACTGAATTGACTTGGAAATAAATTGAGAATTGTGATAAGTCCTTGGAACATAGATACAGCTTGATAAATTTGGTTGGAATTCTAGCAGCTGAATTATTCATCTGTTGAAACTTCCAAGGGTAGGCCCACATATAATATTCTGTCATAAAACTACTTAAAATACTTACAGATATATTTCTATGATTAACTGTCCCTGTCTATGAAAGACTCTCATTGGTGAAATATCAAATCCATTTAAATCTGTAGGGACCATACTGGAATAAGGATCAATCCCTCTATCCCAAATAAGGAGTACATATTTGTACTATGACAAAATGGTGCAACAATTCAGTTATTAGACATGGGGTAGAAAAAAATAAGTTTTGCCATAGAAACTTACAGATGATTATGGGCCAGTCACACTTAGACTCAAGATTGTTGTGGGGAATACAATAAAGGGAGATTTCTATGCAAGCTACTTTGAGTTCTAGCCACCTGGACTACAAATCTAAACAACAAATAGGCATAAATGTATGGTTTGGAACCCCATTTCATATGAACTGAATGTGTAATGTCCCTTGAAACAAATGGGCAGGGTAGCTAGCCTATACAACTATGTTTGAACAGAAAAAATGAGAGATTTGTCAGTGTGCTGCTCTTTTGAAATGTCTATACTGTAAAAGAATTCCTGGTTGTGAGAATCTACTTGGGGTTGCAGACTTGATGTTAATAGTTTTAATGGTCAAAAGCAGGCAAAGAAGGAAAATCAGTCTATCTGTCATGTTGATACCCTTCAGACTGGCTACTGATATTTTCCCATCAATGTAACATGATCAGTTTCTACCAAATATGATATTGTATGTGTGTCCAGCATATTAATAATACAAGGGAGGGGGGGAGGGAATTGCTAGAAATATCCTCTCTTCTCTCATGCTGACAAAAGTTATTTGCTAAATCCCCTTCATTTGATGAGTGACAGGAGACTGGTGTCAAGTAAGAAAATGAAATGTAAATTATATTAAACACTTCTCTCATCTCTGGGTACCAATCCAGATTCCAAAGTAACACATCAAATCAAATCCTGTCTTCGCCTAAGGGCAAATGAAGAATCGTTTCTCTTTAATACCATTCTTTTCTAGTAAAATATTGTTCTGTTTAGTAACTGAAAAATTAAAATATAATCCCCGTGTTAATCCTGGAGGGGAAAAAATGAATATTTTTAGCAACAAGAAAAGCTGTGATTGTATTTTGTGGTGTTTTTCCAACTTTCATGCCTGACCGACATAGCTTACTAGTAATTATTGATTCGATGCTGCATAAAATGGCACCTTTAAAATACTCCAGTAATTTTCACTACAAACATCCCTATCCCTATAGGGATATCTTTACTTATCCCTATCTTTACTGTGATGCAGAGGAATGGGGGAATGATTTTCACAATGACAAATTTATTGGCAGATTTAGACCTAATTGTATTATTACTAATGTCTTTGTCTGTGAATTTTTTTTAAAAAAAAGTTGATGTCAATTATTTCTTGAATTCATTTGCTGCTCATCTTGTAGCAAACAACTCTGGACAATTTTTTTGTTAAAATGAACCAGTGGAGAACACACACACACAAACACACACACACACACACACACACACATGTATGTATGTATGTATGTATGTATGTATGTATGTATGTATATGTATATGGCTCTATGAAATGGATAGAAAAAAGGAAGATACAGAATTTGGCTTTGAACAAGGGTAAAAGTGGGGAAGGATTGGGTCTAAGGAACTGGTCTATCCAAGTGTTAGAAAGCACTGCAAAAAAGGAATATATTGTACGTGACTTTTACCATTTCAGACAACTTGTTGAATAGCTAACAATTGGGGAGAAATGGAGCTATCTAAAGATCAAATGATGGTTTCAAATTCTCTGGGATTCTCAAGGCATGAATTTTAATTCTATAAACTGCCTGGAGTCAGCCATATACATTTGTTTAATAAATAAATGAAGCAGTTGTTGCAAAATCCATGTAAATGAACCAAAGTTGTGTAGCTTAGAGATATATTGGTAGAACAATTTTAGTTGTACTTTATACAACTCAGCTTGTGGCATATAATTGTATGGCTTCTTTTAGATGTGGATTGCACAATAGTCAAGAAGAATACCAAACTCATTTATAAAAACAGCTCAAGCAACAGCTTACTATCATGGGGAGAATTCCACATGAAGAACCAGAGAGAGAAATGTCCTCAGTCTCTCATGTCACAATGCAATTCTTTCCTCACCACTGACTGACTCAGAGACCTGAATCACCCCCAATGTGATTGGCCTGTCCCACTTGTGCCAGAGGAGGCATGCTGAGGGTCCTGTCAACCCAATTATTCTGACTGGTGGGTCCAGGAGGAGGGCATTCTCTGTTGTTGCTCCTGCCCTCTGGACATCTTTTTCCCTCAATGTGAAGTTGGCCCCAGCTCTCCTATCCTTTCCTAAGGGCCTAGAGAGGTGGCTCTGCCTGTTTGCTTGGGGCCCCAGTGGGGGAACAGTGTGGTAGAGGCGGTTGATTGAGTAACAAGAGAGCCCACCTCCCCCTCCTCCACCCTCCCCATGTGTCCTTAGGTTTTAATGTTTGATTTTAATTATTTAACTTTTAATTGTATATGTATAGACATATTTTATGAACTCTGTAAGCTACCAGAGTTCTCCTATGGTAAAATGGATGGCAAATGAGTAAGTAAATAAATACATACATGAATCCTGATTTGAAAGAACCAGACATTCCCATTGCCCAGAGCACAATACAGTTCCAAGAGACCAAAGGGGACCTAAAGTAGACAACAGCTTCCAGGCAAACCTGATTGCTGACCTAATGGTTGGTGAACACTATAAATTTGTATTCATAATAAAACTGTATTTTATGTACACTTTCACTGTACGAAATACTACTATCAGTACACCTAAGGATGAATTAAGGTTGCCTGAAGGCATGGCTACAGAAAGAAGTAACGGAGACCTGTTTGTGTTGCAGTTAGTTACCAGTTGAAAAAAAGTTAAGTACCAACATGCTTCATATATCATATATGGCATTAACTCTAATATGCCCATTCCATTCTTTTACAAAAAATCCTATGTGACTTACAACAGTTTCAGATTTTTTCCCCCCACTGATCTCCTGGCTGAAACATCTAATTTTTTCCCCTTTTGCATGATTATCTAGTGAAACCGCTCCAGGTTTACTTTCCTGTTCGCAAAATGGGAGCAGAGGTAGGAATGGAAACTTTTTAGAACAAGTGAATTTTTTCCCTACCTGCTGGGAAA